TCTGGAAAGAAAAATACAGACGCCCCCCTTTTCACCAAATCCACACACCGTTTAAGACAGTCCTGAATTTAGAGGATATATGATATGTTCAACATGGAGTGCAAAGTAGGTAAACTCTATAATAGGAAGACATTTAACAAAAAACGACATTAATGTTGAAAACTAAACTAATGCATGTACGCTTCACATAAGATGCGGGAGCTGCACTAACAAAAAGGATATGCAAAGGAATTACCAAATAAGAAATTCTTCAGTGGCACAAATTGCAGGTAATCCACAGCTTATATTCAATCACAAGATTATCGAAATTCAGAGCCTACTGAAAAAGGAAGGGACAAGGCTAAGGCCATACCAGCTGGCTCCTGCTGTCCATACGCCGTAAAGGAATGACACCCAAGAGATACATTGCCCAACCAATAACTGGAAGCATAAAGATACTGGTCTTGCTTATAAATTTGAAGCACCTTCCTAGAGTTAGAAGGGTATAGATATCCAAGAAGCTCTGATGGTTAGCAACATAGACAGCAGGGCTACTATTGGGAGGTAGATTCTCCATTCCCTCAACTTCAAGCTTGTAGAACATGGAAACTGCCAGAGTAGCCCAAATCTTTGCAATATAGTGCTGAGCTCTCCTACGGTGGCGGTCAAACAAGAGCACAAGTGGATGAACCACAACCATAGCTATAAACAAAAAGATCGCCGCAACAGCAGTCACCGCGTAGAAGAAGACCCCTCTGATCCTCGAAGCCACTTGCAGATCTGGTTAAGTAAATAAATATAAACAAGTTTTCTCAAAAAAAAGTGAGCTCAAAAAGAATCCAGCTAGTATATAATTTGAATGATTTCACACACACATTGTTTGCAAAATATGTGCAGATGATTTTCCTAATACGTACTAGTCAGTAGGGCCTACTACTTAAATTTCATCAAACATGCCACTGGCATTAGCTGCTACAGGGTTTATAAATACCTTAACAACTGTTGTTCTCCCTCTGAAATTAATCTATCTAAAAACTCTAATGACACCTTTCACATGAGTAGAAGTAACAATTATAAGCCTACAATCCATCATATATTGGTTATAAAACAGAAGGACGGAAAGTATCAAATCCTATCCTCTGGTCCATACTGAAATGAAGGGTTGGGACAATAGTTTGAGTTTCTGCATTATTGGTTTATCCAAATTCACCTAACACTCACATAGCACTAGCAACGGCAACATTGCAGGTTCACATACGCAGGCACATGTCAATGTAATTTTCTAGCTAGCACAGCTCAGCTACTCGGGCACTGCCATAAGAACTTCAAAGCATTTGGCTCTAGAGAGGGGAGGAGGCCTGAAACCTGATAGCTCCGACGAATCCTCGGGGTCATCTGCGGCGGCTGCAGCGGCCGTGACACCCGACCTGACAACCAGCCACCGGCACCTCCCCGCCTGGAGCACCCGCGGGTTCGTGCAGCGGGACGCCACGGACACCCGCCGAGGCCGGGCATTTACACCACCGGCAGCCACCGCTGCAGAGGAGCGAAACAGAAACCAAACACCAGATAAGATAGGATCAGCAGCAGCATCGCGCGGGGCTTTCTCCGAAGGTAGGCGTCGAGCCGTGTCGCGTACCGTGCGCGGCGGAGGGACCGGCGGGGACGGCCGGGGCCGCGGTCGGCCTCAGCCAGACGAGCGTCCCCATGGACGAGCTCGCCGCACGCGCCCCCCTACGCCGGCGAGGGCGGCACGAACAAGCGGGGAGGCGCGGGCCTGGGCAAGCCGAGACGGTGACCGGACCGCGGAGGCGGGGCGGGGGCGCCGCGTCAGATCCGCGAGGCTCTAGATCATTGGCTGGGGCGGCGAGGCGGTGGCGCGAGCGCACGTGGCGAACGTGGGGTCGTTCGGCCTGGGGCGAGAGAATCCGGAGGCGGGGCGGGGGGATGGCGCTGCGCTGAGCGAAGCTCCGTTGGTGAGTGGTGAGAGTGGATAAAATCGCGAGGGCGGAAGCGGGCGGGCGCGCGCTGACTGGATGCGCATGCGCGCGCGGACGGGAGGTGACTAGACTCGGGCGAAACGGTGGCCGGCGGCTGCCGGCGGTGGTTTGTTTCGGCGGTGTTTGCCCAAGTTTCTCTCTATATTCTGTGGCCCGGTTCGCTTTATCTACAATTCGTTTTCTTTTTTCAAAAGGCCCAAGACCGTATATTAAGTGTCACATGAATTTACAAACACGCCCACCCAGACAGATAAAATTACATTTCATTTTGGGGTGCTGAAATCTTCTTCCTTATGTATCCATCGGCGGAGGCATGAGCATAACTCGATGCTGCCTCTGGCCTCCGCCTAGGCGGGGCTTTAAAAAAAAACAATAGCTTGTAGAAGCAACGGATAAAAAGTCATCGATGCATATTAGGAGATACCAACGGCCGCGAATTACAACGCAAATCGGAAACACCGATAAGGCCCTCCACTATGTGTTCGGTGCCAGAAATTTAAAAAGTTTGCCACATACACTTCGATGCCAAATATAAAAAGTTTAGCACCGGCACCACAACGTGAAGGATTTGGCACCCACCCACCTCTGGCCCACCTACGTATAAACTAGTAATATATCAGCTCAAAGCAATGTCTCGCCGGTGGTGCCTCGCATGCAAAAGTACAGTGGCTACCTAGTTTATTGCCTCAACGAAATATGGCGTCGGAGCAAGTAGAGGAATCGATGCCCTGAAATTTTTATTTGGCATCGGCTGGGTTATGTAGGGCACCGGTGCCAAATGTTCAAAAAGTGAATTTGGCATCGGTTTTGGCCTACATAGTGGAGGGCCTAAGGGATATGCAAAAACTTGGAAGACCACGAATGTTAGCTGAATCAAGAAGGACCCCTGAGTCGATCGGATCACGGACCTGCCGGAGCACGGCTCCACACGTCCTCCGTCGTGGATAAACATACCAACAGAATCGTGAAAGAGGAAGAAGAACATTATTCCTAGAAGGCGGCGGCCTCGATGTCCCAAAACCAAACTCAAAGACTCCTAAATAAAACCTTGGAAAAAACACATGTATCATTGCACAACAAGTTCGGGCCTGTCGACCTCGTCGCCATTCAGGACAATGCATCGACTCCCTCTTCTCTAGTGACCTAGCCAGGCCGTGCCACCATTGAAGAATGCTAATGTGGATCACCAACGACGCCGACGAGCATCACCTGCCGGCAGTCGTAGCCCGACCACGAATCACCATCGCCATACCGTAGCAGCCCACCAGCTCCTCCACGTCAGGCTATGAACAACATCCTACCCACCACCGCGAGGCCACATGGGCTTTGCCTGTGCGGCTAACCCTGGCGGCGGCGAGAGGGATCGGATCACAGGGTGGCGGCTAGGGTTGGGTCCTACCTTCGTCGACTCGCGCTATTCCGGAGTTCAAATATGGCCCCAACTAAAATGATGGCAGAAATAATCCTATATGCTTTATCTAAGTGGCCACATTATTGATGTAAAAAGTAGAAACTAGTCTATTATTGAGCCTAAAATAAGACAATATTATTACGGATCTTCTTCTGATCCGTCAAATCATTTTTTTTCCTAATCTACCGTCTTTTTTTATTTGCTAGATGTGAACTGAGAAAGTCTCGGCTAACACTATATCATTAAAAAATACAAGGCTCCTATATCATTCAATTGATCAAATAAAAAAGTATGCACGAATCTTCACGTAAAATCAAACGATGTGAATTGACTTGGTTAATTTTTATCTAGATGATAAGCTAGCCAATCTTTTTTTATCTTTTTTTGTCAATTTTATCTATTTGCTACACTTGAATATATATTTTTCACCGGCACACATTAAAAAATGTTCAAGATTTATTTGAACTCTTTACTTGTAATTTCCATTTTGTTTTATTTAAATGGTTTGATTTGAAATCAGCCAATACTTGTATTTTCTTTGTAGTTGTACTTTTAATCTGCACCAATTGCACCTTAAGGTGGCCTTTGTTTGGGCTTTAGCTACAGATTCTTGGATTCTAACCCATCCAAAACAGAATCTCAAACAAACACTCAGATTTTTATCTTAGCTTTCAAAAATCGGTTCTGAAATTGTGCTACGCCGAGGCACAAGCCAGAAGCTGAGAATTTGCTGATTCCCTAGATGCCCGAGTTGCCACTTATCCAGGTTCCGGGAATAGATCATCTCCTCCCCGTTATTACGCTAGAAATGCCACTAGCCCCCAGCCAATTTCCTCTAACGCCAGGCTCTCCTCCACCTTGTTCTTTCCCACCCAACCGAACAGAGAAGGGGAGCCGCCCCTCACTATAATCCAAGCCACAACTAATTCTCAAGAATCTGTAGCCCAAACAAAGGGGGCCTAAGAAATGACAACTACCCTTTTCAATGTGTCACTATATTCGTTTAATTTGAGCGATGCTATTCCTACCACTTTCAAATATATGATGGTTAGCTAAAATCAAAGGAGCGTACAAATTTTGTACAAGTTGTAAGAATAGCATTTTTGCTTAACTTTTTGTGTAATTGACTAGCAACAATTTTGTCCAAATAAAATCCATCTGCTGAATGTAATCCAGTGTTTGGAACAGTATCAAGCAAACAAAATATCTGTTTAAGACACAGGAGGCACAGACCAAACGGCATGGCAACGGTACGTTCCATTAAGCTTCTTCAGATTTAGGCATGTGTGGTGACTGACTATGACTGGTACCAGTACAAATTACAAACACACACACGCACACAGAGTACATTCCCTATGATGTTATTTTACATTCAATTGAATTGGCTAAGTAAACAACGTGTTTTGAGAGGCGACAAGGAGCACACACAAAAGATGGGCGACAACAACAGGGGGGCAAAAGGAAAAGAAAAGAATGACACCATGGTTGGTTAGTTGCAAGACGACTGCAGGTCATCTGCGGCGCACGGGGAGACGAGGAGGAACACTTGTGTGTGCCTCAGCTGCGAAGAGGCCAGTCAGTCTATACAAAGTGACCTCTTCACCATCCTATCATAGTTTGCATTTTTCGATAACTTCTGTAACAGATGAGTGTGTTTCGTCTGTCATCATATTAAGCTGCAGATGAAACGCCTGCACATGTAACAAATAAACAGACTATTACATGCTCTATCTCTATACGCAGCAGCAAGTAGAAACATACCACAAGAAGGGTAAAATGTCGAAATGAAGAAGAAAATAAGCTTCCTACAAGGGTAAGATCTACCGGACAAGAGGCATACCACAAATTTCTCTAGCACGGGCACAAGAACTTTCAAGTTGTTATTTGGAAGGCAGCTGGAAATCGCTCCTCGAACCTTCATGCTGTTGAAGCAGACAAAATGTTAACAAGTCCAGACACATTATGCAATCAACTCACCGTAATGGAACATTACAGACGACAACTCAGATTACTAACCTTTCTATCGAAAGAAAGCCAAGCACGAGGGCAGCATAGGCCTCCACGATCATCATTTCAGCTTCCCGTGCTCCTTGCAACATTGACTCTTCATCATCCTGGTTAGTTATAATAAGCAGTCAATCAAATGAGCTACAGGACATCATACAATAGGATTTGCTGGCTACTAGGTAGAAAGTACTATACAGAACATCATACAAGGCATTTGCAACAAAGGTCCCCAAAAAGGGCTAATAATATAGTGCAGGTTTAAAATGGAATGGTACTCGACTATTCATGATATTTTGTCAATTGACTGGATATCAAAGCCTACAAATGCATTAGTTTCCATTTCATGGATTTTAAACTAAGGGATTCAATATGCAGCAAAACAGAAGGTACTTTGGAAACGAAGAGCGGGTAATAGTAATACACATCTAGCTTTACCATGTTTCAATGTAGATAAAAATTAAGGTTAGAATTACCGGTGATATAGTTGCAGAAGCTTCCCCAGAACCTTTACTTGCTAAGAAGATTGAACAGAGGAGTGGTATAACATCCCTCTGTGCCTTTTCACTCTGCGCATTCTTAGACAGATCCACAGAAACACGAGCAGATGCAAGCCGTACCCTACAGCCAGGTCATGAAATAATTTAGAACTAGACATTTGTTAGTTGGGATATATGACTGCTCCAGACCCGAAGGAACTAGCTGAAGCAGAACAGTAACACAGGCATGAATCAAACAAATGGAAAGGAAGAAAGTAACAGGCTTACCTATTAAGGCTATCTTTTTCCACGAGATTGACAAGCAAGCCCAATATGGCAACCAGAAAATCAAGCTCATGATCTCGCAGTTGCTTAGCTTTCACTTGGCATGCTTTGCTGTCCTCGGAATCGGTGAGGTCTTGTAAAAGATCGACATCTCGGCCAGTGTCCACGGAGAAATCAAATGAAGGGAAATGCTTGATGATCAAGGAGGCCATTGTGTTAAGTCCACCACATGATGCAATATGTTCACAACCAGATGGGTTGTCATTTGCTAAGTTCATAAGAACCTGCCAGAAAAAACATGGGAAAATCATATACTACATGCCATTGCAAAAGTAACACCGCCATAACATTTTTCTAACATAAAACATCATCCACCAACTGTTCAAAAGTTTCAATAGTGCACAGCAAAATAGAAGGGACGAATAAGATTAGACCCTTTGGACAGTTACAGTTTCTTTTTGGAGTGATAAGGTAAAGGTGCAATGATCTTTCATCAAATATCCTAGTAAGGAGCAGAAAAAGATAAGAGACTACAATTATTATGGGATATCTCACAAATACCGTCACAAGAAGCAATACATAGGTATGTACAGTTAAGCTTAGGCCCACAATTAGTTGAGACAAGATCAACAACTAGTTTATCCATACAGACTAGTCTTTCAAAAACAACTTATTGTCACAGTTAAATTTAATACTGAAACATATCTTCAAAGTGACTTAACAGGCTGAGCACCTAAAACCTTTTAAAGGTGGTCAATAAGCTTAGAAAATCATCTGAGCTGATCACAATTGGGACTTACCATACGAGCAAGTCCATTCACGCTCTGGATGGAAGTTCTAATTTTATCTTCAGTTTAATAAGCTTATTGTAACTTTTAGCAGAACCTTCAACCTTCAATAGGAGGCAAGCCTGAGACAGCTTTATGTTAATGCTTAAACCCAACTAAAGCAGGTTTCAGGTTAAGTAAGAGTGTTAATCAGGCACCACAAACTGAACTCTAAACTTAAGCATCGGGCTCAGCCCATTCCTCGAGTATGCACCGATGCACGGAATGAAGACATATTGATGTATATTTGTCTTAATACTCTTTCTTAAACTTCCAACCAAGTGACACATCACAATTCCACAAACAGTTACTGTGTGGTATAAATGGTGAAAATCTTCCAGTGCATGCGATCATACGAATTCACACATTGACCAAAGGTTTAACAGCCTATACTGAGTATTCACAAATGGACAAACCTATTTCAAAGGGATGCAATACTTCTTTACAAAAATATGCCAGCCAACAAAAATCAAGAAGGCTTACCTTAATTGATGCCAAAAGGCAGTCTTCCAAAAGATTGGAATCATCGTCAACATTAGAATGGGATGTTGCACCCAGATGATGATTATTATCTTCAGGTTGATATGATTCCTGACTTCCAATCACAGCAATCCCACGATCGTCCGACAATTTCTCATTCGCTGATTTTGCTTGACAGCCATGTGTTGATCTCTTTTTTTGACCAAATAGTTCAGGCTCCTGATCAACATCATCAAATGCAAAAGGATCACTACCACTGCCACTTCTCAAATCACTGTTGCCGTTTTCAGACAGACGTCGTCGTTTTGCCATTTCTCTGGACGTTCCATCAGAACTATGTGCTGTTATAGAAACCCATCCACTTGAGCCTCTAATTGGGTTGGCTTTACCACGTTCCTTTCTTATATTAAGCTTCAGACCAAGACCAAGACCATTGCTGTGCCTCTCACCTAATGAACCACTTGATGCCCTGTTGCTTGAAGTAGACTGGGAACAATCAAGTGTCATTTGTGATAGGCCAACATCACTAGTAGAAGATATACTAATATGAGAAGCATCTAATTTGGAAGATGAGCAATTTTGGCATTTTTGGTTCAGCGAAAGCTTATTTTTCTTTGAGTTCTTGCCCTTGCCATGACCATTCAATGTAGTTGCACCCTTGATGTCTGCTGCACAAGAGAATTTAGAACATGAGACCATATTAAACTTGTATCGAGGAATATATATCGTTGTGCTTTATATGAGACTAGAAGGTGAACGTCATAGTTTTGCGTACAGTAAACATTTGTGCACATGAGAATTTCAAACGTGAGACCATATTAAACTTGTATCGAGGAATATATATCGTTGTGCTTTATATAAGACTAGAAGGTGAACATCATAGTTTTGTGTACAGTGAATATTTGTGCACATGCATGATACCCTAACTGCCTTGCAAATTTATTGCTGCACCCAGAGAGGATACTTTGGGTCGTCAATATAGAAAAACACTGAAATTATATCAAGTATTGAATCTAGTGAAAATATTATATTTGCCCTAGATTTAGACAGTTCACAGGAAAGACAGAACTTCAAATAATTTGGTGGTTGTGACTTGTGACTACCAGAGCAGCCCCCTTTACAACCTTTGGAAGATTTTTTATCTGTACTGCTGGAAACAGTGGAAGAACTCTGAAGGAGAGACAGTACTGCAGCAAAGGAAAATAGGCATCAGATTGCAAGTTTTCAAAGTGGATGTTGAACGTTACATTATATGGGAATAGGAAAATACTGAAATCTAATGCAAAATTACCTGATAATAATTCAACAATATTGATAATGACACCAACAAGAGAAACTGTAGAGCCTCTGGGACTCAATTTTCTACTCATGCTGAGCAAATGGGTCTGGAAGGATCAAAAGGAGTCGAGTGAAGTTAAGAAGTAGTACATGGCAATACTATCATTGCACTGAACTAACATTCCAAGATATGGAAAATTACCTTGTTCTGATCACTTAAGAATGTGGCATTCTCTAAAATTTTCAAACATTTCAGGAGGAGTGCAGCACTTTGCAAAGATGTTCCTTCCTTTATGTCCAAGGACAGAGTGGAGGTATCCTTTACAATTCCCTGATATACAAGGTTGGCCAGCACAAATATATTATATTCTGTTAGCTTAACTGGTGTATAACGCATTAAGTATGCGAAATGGGGAGAAAAGGACTAGCAGAATAATTCACTGCGAAAATAAATGTGTACACATCGGAGACCCAGGTCATAAACTACACAAACCAGAAGCACGATAAGTGGCTTCAATTCACTTAAACTCTAAGAGAGGCTTGTGTAGTGGAAATTGTAGCGTTCAACAGGGTAATAATCATATAATGTCTCCATGCCATGAAACCTATGCAAGTATTATCACCTTGGACACATATAATCACTAGAGATTCAAAATTCAAAAATTAATGCTTGACATAAATCACTCTAAGACTGCATTCAGGATTTAAAATTTTCAATCAGAGAAAATTTCACAGCATAATTTTGTGCTGCAGCAAAGTTTTAGTGTGCAGCTTCAAGCATGTTAGGGCTTAAAATGTACAGACTACAAAAACATGCAACCATTCTTCAGCATTGTGACAGAACACATAATGACAGCTTGAATGTTGTTTATGTGAACCTCTGCCGAAGGATAAATTACCATAAAATACCTGTTTATTTTATGAAATAAAATAAAAAAATAAGCAAGATCATACCTCCAGTGAGGAATGACAATCAACCATAACATCAAAAATATTATCAAGACCACCCAATGCCCTTAATGTTTCTTTGAAATCCCCTCCAACTCTGGTCACCATGTCAGAAGTCTCTGAAAAGATAAACATTTGAAAATGAGTAATATTTCAGTAACTGTAGCAAAAAAATAAGTTACTACGCATAATTCTGGGCTAGGCAAGCCATCACTGAAAACTCAAACACAAGTGAAACAAGGGCTAGGCAAAGGCATCCATGTAAAGCAAGCATGCAATGCTTAACTTGTGAATTGACAGTGTACTTCGCGGTGAATGCAATAATGGCAATGGGGTAATCGTGGTCAAGAAATTGATTAAAAACCATACCCTCTAATGCGACAGCTGACAAGCATGCCTTTTCCATTGTCAACAAAGCAAGCCATTTTGAACATAATTCTGGCCTTGATGCTCTCTTGCCATCCCTGTCAAGTGGCTTGATTTCTTTACAGCTTAAGAGGATTTCTTCGACTTTTGATATGATATCATCTGAGCTGGAATCAGAATCCTTATTTGAGCCATTAAACATTTGAACTTTACTGATTCCAAGGAGTTTGGAACCTATAGATGGTGCTTTGACATCATTTGCGTCCATTGGAGGATTTAATAATTTAAGAAGAAACCGAATACACGATTCTGAATTTAGCACATGATTCTCTTGTACCTGAATAACAACAAGAAAGGATAGATTGATCATAAGAAGAAACTGAAGCTGAAGGAATGCTCATCGGAACTCAGAAGTATTAAAAGAGCAGCAACTGTTGGGAAAACGCATTCAACGAGCAATATATGTAATTCACAAATGAAAATCTGAATAGTAAATACTCCCTCTGTAAACTAATATAGGACATTTTATAGACTTGAGAGGGAGTATCAAACTAGCTGAATTTAAATCATAAATTATGGTTCAGCTGTCAATAAAAAATAAAGCATAAAGTCAATTAACTAAAGTTATTTTTATCATGCATTAGTGTTGAGAAAGAAAGCGAGTACTTCTACAAGAAAAATAAATAAACAACTTTGTCACGACATGAGTATCTTTGTGATTTGTGAGAAGAGAATATTTAATATGCACGGAAAGCAGCATGCACAGAAACATATCATCTGGTGGTTTGGGATTGAGAGGTACTCACATCACTTGCCAAAACAAATAAAAGAGCTGCCGCCGCAACACCACAGGAAGGATCATCAATGTTCAGAGCCAAAACATTATCTATAATTTGCTTTACCAGTCTACAGGACATAACAAAACATGCACTTGTGAGTAATAAGATGGAATGCGTGTAATATTTGAAGAAACAAATGAATTGTTTTTTAAACAGTGATTTTGATTTTGGTACTTCTCAGACTAAATAGATTACTGAGATGAACATTACATGGTTACATGTTAAAATAATTGTGTTCAATGAGAATTTACTTTCAACAACGTTAACCATCTACAGATGTAGAAATGGGTAAAACATCTCAAGATCTAGTAATTCCAGAGGTAACATCCTCACTTCAAGCATGCCCTTTGTTTCACTAAACAGTTTTACTATTTCTCAGGCAACTGAGTCACAGCTAAAAATAGTTTCGTCTTCACATCGAGATTGTGCAACTACACAAGGGATGAGATGATCTTGATCGGATGGCTATCAATGTTGACTGAGAAATCATTATTCCTAAGTTGACTGAGCTATAGACACACCCCTAAACACTAACGTTGAACTTACCCAGTTTAAATAAGCATTCCACATGTTCAGTACGCTTATTATTAATTATCTCATAGTACATCTTACAGAAACAACAAATTTGAAGACTGGCTGGGACAGGAACAGACAATATCCTACATCTTCAACTATACAGATCAAAGAAAAGCAGTATACCCTAAACTTAAATAGTTGTCAATTGTCAAAATGTTGGTATGACAGTGAGTTAAGAGTGAAACACTGGTGCTGTTCACAGCTCAAATAGGTAGCAACTCCATGGTTCAATACTGCGCTTTTGGTTAACAAAATGTATACTCTCTTGAACAGAGGAGAAATATTAGGCTCGAGTTCAATGGATGGCACTTCTACCAGCAATGTTCTTCAGACGTATCTATAGGCCGGAGCAAATTCTAATTCAAAAGGGAAGATGTCTTTCAAGACATTTCCAATCAATCACCATGCTTCCTTCTTATGGAATCATGGCATACTTGGGGTCTTAGCAAAAACAAAGAGACCATCCTGCTTAAGACGCAGATAACTCAAGTGCATACTCCTTAAGCCCAGTTGTGATAGTTAGTCAGTGGGGATTCTCGACAATATGTGAAGTCCTGATTCTACAACAAAAACCACGACAAAGCAAACTAATCGAACTAAACAGCTCAGGCCAGGCAAGCAAACAAATAAGCTGCATGAGTTGAGCTATTCATCATCACAAGACAAAGGAAACGGAGCGCGCTCGTTCGTGGTGGTTTGAAGGCCAAAAGGTGGCTCCTTTCCGGAAGAAACCGAAATTCTTGAGCCCTAATCGTACAGAATCCCAATCTTTGAACCGAGGTCAGCCGCAAGAAGCCCCAATTTGGTAACCCTAACCCGAGGTTCTCGATTCGGGGAGCCAAGATTGGGCACCAAGAAGAGCAAGAAGGCAACTTGTGTACCAAGAGAAAGGTGTACTGACCCCTGAGCCCGGAGGACGCGGCGGCGCGCGGCGGACGCGCAGATCCCGAGCAGCGCGAGCAGGCTTGCCCGGCGCACCCGCCTGGGCGCGGTGGGGCGCAGCCCGTCGAGCGCGAAATTGACCTCGTCGACGCTCTCCATCATCTCCCCGTACTCCTCGGCCTCCATGAGCGTGGCGGTGGCCGCCTCGGGCTCGGGCTCGGCGTGCCTCCCGCGTCGCCCCTTCCGGCGCGGCCCCTCTAGCCGGGGCGGCGGCGGCTGCGTGGGCGGGTCCTCGTCGAAGTCCCACATCGAGGAGGACTCCTGCGACGGCGGGAAGGGCTGCGACGCGGACGAGCCCAGCGCCGCGAGCTCGTCGTCCCCATCCCCGCCGTCGAAGTCGAACGCGTCCTGCGAGGACGAGAGCCCGCGGTCCCCTCCGCCTCCGCCGGCGGCGGCGCCGGCGGCGCCGTCGGAGAAGGTGCGGGATCTGCGGCCGTAGGTGCGCACGATCATGGCGACTCGCTGCTGCGGGTAGCTACAGCTCCGCGCATGCGAGGGGCGAGTAGAGAGAGAGAGATTTGGGCGTGGGCGTGGGCTTGGGCGTCTGTGTCTGGGTTTCGAACGTTTTGCTTTGCGGCTGATCCGGATTTCGGGATTCTGGCCTGGCCTGGGACTGGGAGGGGACGAATTCGGGGACGGGAGCTGCAGCTGGTTTCGTGCGTTGGTTACTGCTGCTGCTGGTGGTGGTTTTGTGCGTTGCTGCGGCCTGGGGTTAGTTATCGCGTGTCAGGCCAGGGTTAATAACCAAGGTAAAGCACAGCCTAGTTAGTTTGAATCGAAATGGCCGCGGCGTCTCGACGCGCTTCTCCACGGTCAGATTGTTCCTCCATCTTGATTTTGATAGAGCACTTGTGCACACGGTCTTGAGCTTCCTCGTCTGGTCAGCGTCTAGGGCTTAGATCAAGCATGAATGAATGAAATGAGTAGACATAAGCGTATGGGTTTGGCTAGAAACACCTCCTCCCCAAGAAAAGCATAGGGTTCCTTTGCTTCCCCCAGCGCCGCCGCCGGTCCGCCTCGTCCACGGTGACCTTAGGGCCATATGGCACCGCGGTGGATCCCGGCCCTTGCCTGTGGGAGGGCTTCGTTTTTAGATGTTTCTTCAACTTTCGTTAGGTTTTGTGTTCTGCTCAGGAAGACGAGACGGCGCGGCTCCCTGAAGATGAAATAAGATTCTCCTTGTCTAGTCCCCATTCCGGTGGTGTGTCTAGTATCGTCGGTGGGCGTGTGAGGGTGTGTCTCCGATGGATCTATCCTTGATGGATTTGCTCGGATCTAGTCGTAGTTCATCTATGTTTGTGTTTCTTCAGGTTGGATCCTTCTGATCTACGCTACTCTTCATCAGCGGCAGTTGTTATTTTGCTGCGCTGGTCCTATGAGATCTTAGCACGACAATTTTTTCGACTGTCTACTACAACAAGTTTTGCCTGTCTCCGGCGAGGGAGGAGCGATGACGGCGGCGCGCCTTTGGCTCGCTTCGATGCTTGTAGTCGTCGCTAGGTGGTCTATAAATCTGGATGTAATTTTTATTATTTTCCAGTATTCGTTGTATTGCCATGATTGAAAATGAATAGATCAGAAGTTTTTTCGAAAAAAATGTGTAGACATGGTTGAATAAAAGGAGACTGTCTCCCAAATAACTGCGTTGATGTTCAATTAGATCTTCACGAAGCTGGGTATGCAAAGCCCCATCTTCAATCCTAGGGTATGTCTTAAGAAAAGTTTGGATCCGATCCTAGTTCCGGCAAGGTTACACAAGTGAAAGATCATGGATGTCGCCTAGAGGGGGGGTAAATAGACGCTTTAAAATAATCACGGTTTAGGCTTGAACAAATGCGGAATAAAACTAGCGTTTAATTTATCAAGCACAAAACATAAAACAATTAGGCTCACCTATGTGTACCAACAACTTATGCTAAGCAAGAGAAACAACTAAGTGATAGCAAGATATATAACAAGGAACACTATGGTTATCACAAAGTAAAGTGCATAAGTAAAGGGCTCGAGTAAGAGATAACCGAGGCACGCGCAGACGAATATGTATCCCGAAGTTCACACCCTTGTGGATGCTAATCTCCTTTGGACCGGTGTGAATGCACAATGCTCCCAAAAAAGCCACTAGGGCTACCGTAATCTCCTCACGCCCTTGCACAATGCAAGATGTTGTGATTCCACTAAAAGACCCTTGAGGACGGTCACTGAACCAGTACAAATGGCAACCCTTGGGAGCGGTCATCAGAACCCGTACAAATTGCTCGGGGCACTCTCCACAACTTAATTGGAGTCTCCCGAAACTTGTCCGGAGCTTACACCACAATGATTGAGCTTTGACAACACCAACCGCCTAGGGCACCAAAGCACCCAAGAGGAACAAGCGTTATGGTGTCCAAACACCCAAGAGTAATAAGCTTCTCACCTTTCGCTTCCACGTGTCACCGTGGTGAACTCAAACCGATGCACCATATCCAATGGCAAGGTCACACGCAGTGCCCATATCCCTCACTCTCAAATCCACCACGACAACAAAAGCTATGGACGAATTGTTGGAAATATGACCTAGAGGCAGTAATAAAGTAGTTATTATTATATTTCCTTAATCATGATAAAGGTTTATTATTCATGCTAGAATTGTATTGACCAAAAACTTTTTTTCGTGAATAAGCAGAGGATGTGTATCTTTTCATTGATAGAAGAAGAGTTGTACATCATGAGGTTACAAGAGCTCGCTAAGCCATGTACGCAATGAGGCATGGAAGCGAGCTAGGTGCAGAACAGACATGGGGTTGCTCAGCCCCAGAAACCTATAGAGCTATCTCCCGGGAAGGATTTTGTGTAGTCCGTTGGCGCCGGCCTTGGCCCACATGCGCGCTTGATGATGTCGGAAAGCCGGGTGATGGAGGGATGCTCACCGTCAAAGACGCAAGCGTTCCGGTGCTTCCAAGCCACCAGGCAGTGAGGATGATAAGGGAGGCCAAACCTTTGCGCGTAGGGGATGGTGAACGGTTACAGGACGTCTCCCACTAGGTGAAGAAGTCAGTGCCACTGCTCGGAATGTCGGCGGTAGAGCAAACCCAACTGAGGACCTCATGCCATATTTGGCGGGAGAAAGGGCAGCCCGCCAAAAGATGTTGCATTGTCTCCTCTTCTTGATCGCAGAAGGCGCAAGAGTCCTCGTGTGGAAGGCCATGTCGAGCTAGTCGTTCAGCCGTCCAGCATCGGTCTTGCAATGCAAGCCACATGAAGAATTTTATGCGGAGGGGGGCCCATGGCTTCCAAGTGAGCCGCCAACGCGGGTCCTGGCAGGCGCCGAGGAAAAGCGCCTGGTAACATGAGTTGGCCGAGTAGGTAGTGGAAGAAGTCCAGCGCCACTGGAGGGAGTCTAGGAGTCAGTGGGAGGGACGTGACGCACGCAAAACCAAAGGTCGACATACTGGATGAGAGCGGCAGGGCCCAGGGCGCCCTGGATGTCACTGACCTAGGAGCGTTGGAGGAGGCCATCATGCACGGTGCGGGCCTTGCGCTACCGCCAAGGAACAAGCGCAAGAACGAGCGAGGTGATCTCGACGACCGATCTACCGTTGATCTAGTGGTCACTCTAGAACCTGCAAGTGCGTCTGTCGTCGAGCACCCAGATGGTAGACGCACGGAAGATGGTCGAGATGACGGGGTCTTGTGGAATGTGCAGGTGGCTCCACGGGCACGACGTGTTCGTGTACTTAAGCCATAGACATCAAGTTCTAAGCGCGATGCCGGTGCGCTGTAGGTCCCGAACATCGAGGCCGCCAAGAGAAAGCGGGCGGCAAACCCTTTGCCAGTTGACCAAGCATTGGCCGCCTTTGGCATCTGTGCTCCCAGCCCAAAGGAACCCACGAATGATCTGATTGGTCTGCTTGAGGATGGAAGGGTTGAAGGTGATGGCAGTGAGGAAGTGCATAGGAATGGCACATAGGACATGCCGGACGAGAGCAAGGTGATCTCCTCGGGAGAGGAGGGAGGCGCGCCATGTGGAAAGCTTTCGCTCCAGCTTGTGTATAATCGGCATGAGGCTCTAAAGGAAATATGCCCTAGAGGCAATAATAAAGTTATTATTTATTTCCTCATATCATGATGAATGTTTATTATTCATGTTAGAATTGTATTAACCGGAAACATAATACATGTGTGAATACATAGACAAACATAGTGTCACTAGTATGCCTCTACTTGACTAGCTCGTTGATCAAAGATGGTTGAGTTTCCTAGCCATAGACATGAGTTGTTATTTGATCAACAAGATCACATCATTAGGAGAATGATGTGATTGACTTGACCCATTTTGTTAGCTTAGCACTTGATCGTTTAAGTTTACTGTTATTGCTTTCTTCATGACTTACACATGTTCCTATGACTGTGAGATTGTGCAACTCCCGAATACCGGAGGAACACTTTGTGTGCTACCAAACGTCACAACGTAATTGGGTGATTATAAAGGTGCTCTACAGGTGTCTCCGATGGTGTTCGTGGAGTTGGCATAGATCAAGAATAGGATTTGTCACTTCGATTGTCGGAGAGGTATCTCTGGGCCCTCTCGGTAATGCACATCACTATAAGCCTGGCAAGCAATGTGACTAATGAGTTAGTTGCTGGATGATGCATTACGAAACGAGTAAAGATACTTGCCGGTAACGAGATTGAACTAGGTATTGAGATACCGACGATCGAATCTCGGGCAAGTAACATACCGATGACAAAGGGAACAACGTATATTGTTATGCGGTTTGACCGATAAAGATCTTCGTAGAATATGTAGGAACCAATATGAGCATCCAGGTTCCGCTATTGGTTATTGACCGGAGACGTGTCTCAGTCATGTCTACATAGTTCTCGAACCCGTAGGGTCCGCACGCTTAAAGTTCTATGACGATAGGTATTATGAGTTTTTGTGTTTTGATGTACCGAAGGTGGTTCGGAGTCCCGGATATGATCACGAACATGACGTAAAGATCAATATATTGGATGACTATGTTCGGACACCGGAAGGGTTCTGGGAGGTTTCAGACATATACCGGAGTACCGGGGGTTACCGGACCCCCCCCCCCCGGAAGCTATTGGGCCTTATGGACCTTAGTGGAGAAGAGAGAGGGCAGCGAGGAGGTGGTGCGCGGCCCCCCTTGCCCCAATCCGAATTGGACAAGGGGAAGGGGCGGCGGCCCCCCTCTCCTTCTTTCTCTCCACCTCCTCCTTCCCCCTTCTCCTTCTTGGAATAGGAAAGGGGGGCCTACTTGGAGTAGGATTGCCCCCCCTGGGCGCGCCTCTCCCTTGGCCGGCCCTCTTCTCCTCTCCCCTTTATATATGGGGGTAAGGGGGCACCCCAAAGACACAACAATTGATCGATTGATCTCTTAGCTGTGTGCGGTGCCCCCCTCCACCATAATCCACCTCGGTTATATCGTAGTGGTGCTTAGGCGAAGCCC